TATGCGGTGTCCATTTGGCAGATGAGAACAGTCCCTGGTCAGCAGGTATAGGCAAAAGCTGGTCTTTGAGAGGCTCAACAAACAACAGTTACCTTTCCTAACGTCCCGAGATGGGCAACCGTACCCTTGAATTTTTTTACCCTGGATGAAAAAATAATTGGAAATTTAAGTCATGTGTTTCCAAGAACTTATTGCCCCCATTGTTTGTCCAACCTATTGTTTTGTGAGAGCTATTTGAAGTGCACTAAGATTAATGAGCCTTTTTCCAAATATTTTTTAAAATCTCTTTTTACTCAAAACCTACTATACAACCACAGTTGTCCAAACAACCTGGTACTGGTATCATGATAGATACACAGACCAATGGATCAGGGCAGAAAACCCAGAAATAAAATCATCTGCACGCAGACAACTGATTTTTTTAAAATTCATTTTACTGGGGAGCTCTTACAAGTCGTATGACAATCAATCATTTGGTTGTATTAGGCACACATGTACATATGTTGCCATCAACATTTCCAAAACATTTTTTTTCTTCTCGAGCCCTTGGTATCAACTCTTTTTCCCCCCATGCTTCCCCACCTTCCCACCCTCATGAATCCTATAATATATTATTGCTCTTATTTCATGTCTTATACTGTCCGTTGTCTCCTTTCACCCACATTTGTGTTATTCATCCCCCTGGGTGGGCTATATATCCAACCTTTTGATGGGTTCCCCCTTTCTCACCGCTCCACCCCTCCCGGTCCCTACCATCCCCCTACCTTCATGATATCACTACTCACACTACTGTTCTTGAGGGTTTTATCTGTCATGGAGTCCATGTGTCAAGAGCTCTTATGTGTACCAATGTGCATACTCCTGTCTAGCCATATTTGTAAGGTAGAACTGGGTCATGTTAGGGGGGTGGAGGGAAGGAAGCATTCAAGAACTAGAGGAATGATGTGTGTTTCGTCAATACTATACTGTACCCTGCTTGAATCATCCCTTCCTTGTAACCCTTCTGTGGGGGAGTGTCCAATTGTTTACAGATGGGCATTAGGTCTCCACTCCAACCCCTCTCATTCACATCAATATAATTGTTTGCTTTGGTCATTTGATACCTGTTACCTGATCCTGTCAACACCTCATGATCCCATAGGCTGGTGTGCTTCTTCCATGTGGGCTTATTAGCTTCCCTGCTAGATGACTGCTTGTTTAACTACATGCCTTTAAGACCCCAGATGGGGTCTTTTAATAGCTGGGCACCATGAACTTTCTTCACCACATTTGTTTATGCACCCATTTTGTCTTCAGTGATTGTGTTGGGAAGGTGAATGTCAAAAAGTGCCAGGTTATTAGAAAAAAAAAGTGTTCTTGCAATTAGGAAGGCCTTGAGTGGAAGCCCAAAGTCTGTCTGCTATATAAATATATGTACATTGGCCTCTATACCTTTCATTATAAATTAATATATTTACATATATACATACCTATAGCTATACCTTCATAAATAATTTTTGCTTCCTACTTCTTTCCTCTATTTCTTTTCACCGTCCTATTGTCCCATTATCATGTTCACCCTCCCCTCGGCTCTCAGTAATTCCTCTTGGATACATTGCACTTGTTTAAACCCCGCCAGGCCTCCTCACCATCATTTTTCAGATCTCTTGTTGTTCCTTCATTTTTGACAAGGCCACCAAAAGCATTAAATGGGAAACAGATGCCCTCATCAATAAATGGTGCTGGAAAAATTGGATATCTATCTGCAGAAGAATTAAGCAAGACCCATATCTCCACAAATACAAAATCAAGGTGGATCAAAACCTAAATGCAAAAATCCAAAGCTATTAGGATCGCCAGCAAGAAAATTGGTTTAAACCTAAGTGCCCTAGTGCAGGGAACACATGGGCTTTCGGAGATAATAAAGGAAACACACACCGTGGAAGACAAAATAGATGAGTGGGACCTATTGAAAATAACATACTTGTGTGCATCAAAAGACTTCATAAAAAATATATATAAAAAGAGAGTCTAAAGACTGGGAAAAGATATTTAGTGATGACATAATGAAGGACTAATTACTAAAAGCTATGGTATTTTACAAGTTTACAACAACAACAACAACAACAAACTAATAACCCTCTGAGAAGGTGGACAAAGGACCTGAACAGAAGATTCACAAAGGCGGACACTCAAATGACTAATAAGCACAGGACGAAATGCTCTTGTTCACCAGCCATCCAGGAAATGCAAGTGAAAATAACCATGAGATATCATCTAACACCCATAACTGTAGCCCAGTTTTTAAACACTAAGAACAACAAATGCTGAGAGGGTGTGGTGAGACTGGAACTCTTATCCACTGCTGGTGGGCTCATAAATACATACAGCCACTGTGGAAGGTGATATGGTGATGCCTAAAACAGATGGCAATTAAAATACCCTATGATCTAGCAAGCCCATTACTGGACATTACCCCAAAGAAATAAGAAACTGAGCACAAACTGATGTGTGCTCCTCCAGATTCGTTGCAGCACAGTTCACAATAGCAAGAAGCTGGAAACTTCCCCAAAAAAATTCCCCAAAAAAACCTTTGGTACGTACACACAATGGAATACTACGCATCCCTAAAAAAACAGCAATGAAACCACGAGACACCTCAAGACGCAGAGAGATCTAGAAGACATCATACTGAGTGGAGTTAGTCCATCACAAAAGGACAGCTGCAGTCTGAGTCCACTGCTGTAGGGACAAGCAGCAGAACGGGCACAAGGACATCCAGTGAAGGACATCCAGTCGGCTGGCTGGGGGTCAGACAGCCTGTAGAGGGTCTGACCAGTGCCAGTGAACCAGACACCAGCCACTGCAGGTAAGTATTTTGAAGGTCGCCTGGCCAGAGGGTGCCTCACGTAGGCCGGGATCAAATGGTCAAGAGAGGGGAAGGGGATGTTATCTACAGAGTGGCTGCCATGTCAATCTATGATGAGGTCTCCCCCGGATAGACAGACAGCCCTATGGGAGGCATGGGGGACACTGATGGGAAAAACAAGTCAGGAGATGGGGAAGGGAGCAAACCTGTCTGGGGGTCACAAATGCCTGACTGTTTGTAGGAAAAGAGGGAGGACCAAACTCCAGGTGGGGGAAAGAACAACTGAAAATGCTTTGGGGCACCCTAGTGGGGGAGTGTCTTCGCTGGTACGCCCCGAATGGGCCACGTTGACCCAGGCTTCTGGGTGAATCCTGGGGACCCAGACTGGGTGCTGTGGAACACTGGGACACTGAAGGCTGGATCTTCAAGGTGCATAGCACCCTCCAGAGGCAGCATCTCTCAGGTGGAAACTCCACAGGGTGAACTGCACTCTACCTCAGACACATTTGTAACTGAAGGACTTAAGTAGGAAGTGCATGGTGTCTGAGGAGCAGCAAACAGCTGTACCCAGATTGTTGGACTGTTGGTAAGCTGACAAACACAGTCTTGCTCCATCCGTGCCCTATACGCTGTATCAAGATATGTATTATTCCGGCAAACCTGTGACAGACATTCTTTTCATTTTATTGTTGTTTGTTCCTCTTAGGGTGTATCTCAGAGGCCTTATGTCAATAGAGGCCCCCCTCTTGAAGTGGTGTTACCTGTTGTTCAGTAAATGAAACTCAGGACTGATGAGCCTATGGGGACAGCAAGTAGAACAAGGGTTTCGGGGCGATGGATCACAGGAGTTGGGGGAGTGAAAAGGAGATGATGTCAAGGAGTCCAGGAAGAAAAAATGCTTTGGAACTGATTGTGGTAGCAGTTGTCCAATTCTGCTGGATGTGATTGAACTAGGGGACAGTATCATATATGTGTAATATTACATGTCCTCCATTCACAATAATTCTTTAAAGACCAGCCCTAGAGACACTTTGTGTAGGAACTGCTCTAACGGGTTCTATGTTTAATAGAAATCTATATTGGGGTTCCTTCCACCGAGGAGGCACCAGCATGTGGATGACAACATAGATGCCCACTTGACTAATGTTTGTTATGTTAATTTTTAAATTGCATATTTCTTATATCCATTCATTTGGTTTTTGATTTCATGAAATACTAACTTGTTTATTTGATCTGTAGGTCTTAATTAAAGGTCATAAGTTCAAGAAAGAGACCTAAATTTCACTGATTTTTGTTGTTGTTGTTGTTTCCTTTAAGTATCTGGATTTCTCTGACCTTAAGGAAAATAATTTTATCCCTGTCTCCGTTGTAAAAATTAAAATAAAATCTCTTTTTATTATAAGGGCATTTAGACTTTGGAACTCATTCTATGGGTAAAAAATAATAAACTGCTCTAAACACTCAATCCCTGCAGGTGGGTTCAAAATTTACTTTATACTCTGATCCCAATGGATTTAAATTATTGCTCAGGTTTATCACTTCTCATTTACGGGCCTTTTCAAAAAGGGAAAGATACCACAGGGAGTGTACTATGTGGTATATATCCATACTAGAGTGTACTATGTGATGTAGAGCAATACTAGAATATACTATGTGGTGTACAGCCATGTCCTTAGTCCAGAAGACTTTCAGAACCTCCTCCACCTAAGCCATCAGTGGATAGCACCCCCACTGGGTGAGTCTTATGAGGGCATTGATTTTTGGCTAGTGGTTCAGAGCTCTCTTGGGCTGGTTCTGCATGTGCTCTGTCACGTAGAGTGGGTAATGTATTATTACTGGGGCACTGCAGGGGACAAGGAGAACAATTTTTCCTTGGGATGTGTGCAAAGGAGCTGATTGCTGCCAGCTCCCTCGAACTCCCTACATGGTCATCTGATGACCTCTGCTGGTGCAATTTTCCCACCTTGAATGAACCAGGGCTTCTGAGCCAAGCCATCCTCCAGTGTTCCATCTCCCTATGTTCCTTCCCTCCTGTTCCTGTCGTTCCCATTAGGCAAGGGAGGGGGTCCATGGCAATAACCAGGACTAACGCAGGGCACGTGCCTGAGCAGACTGTCCTCTCACTGAAATTGCCTGGTGGCTTCTCTTGCAGTGAACCTCTGAGCCATTTCCTGTAGAAAGAGAAGGACGCCAACATGGAAGAAAAAGCGGCACCCACAGTTTTCATTCTGCTGCTTTTGGTCAACGTCAATTTGCTGAATGGTAAGGAAGAGACGGCCATGCGCTCTTTAATTGCCTGGGTGTTTATCAAGATGGGGTTTAGGGCATGGGGAAGGAAGAGTCCTTCCTTGCAAGACAGTTGAGAAACAGGAATGTTTGTGTCTTTTGCTGCTATTAAATGTATTTGCAATGTTTGAGCACTTGCGACATCTTGTACCTGGGCTCTGAATTACATCCTCATTTGGAAAGCAGAGCAAACCAGCTCTGAAAACCATAGTTCAAGTTCCTGCTCAGTTAGCTAATAGCTTTGTGCTTTGAACTCCTAATCTCTCTGCATCTTCACACTTGTAAACTGAAGATAGTGATGTTTCCTCCACCCTAAATGAAAAAGTTTTGAAAACTTGTAAAGAGATGGAAGGGGTTGCTGTTACATGGTAGAAAACAGGTAGAGGCAATGTTGAATTATCAGTGCTAATCAAGAAACTGAAGTTCACAGCTAAATGTGTGTGTATGCTTGTGTGTGTGCAATTCTTTGTGGGGGTACCTCTGTGTTTTACTGTGTGTGTACCTGTGTATGTGTGTTAACTCTTGTAGGCACCTGAATACAAATGCTTCAATTATGTGTTTGCATATGTATGCTTCTATATGTGCATACTTCTGAATGTGCATGTATATGTGTATTAATGTCTGTGTATATGCACATGTGTGTACACACATAGTACAAATATGTGTGTACCTGTGTGTATGTCAGAGTGTCCTTCTATACTTGTGTGTATTTCTCTGGGTATAGACCCTGTGGGGCTATGAACCTATACACCCGTGCATACGGTACAAGCATGGTTGTCTCCCTATTCCTGTAGATTGTATGAGGACATTCTATTTGTTTTAGCTGACTGTTCTCAACAGGGTGAAAAGGAATTCTAATTGTCACTTCACAGTTTTGCCATCCCCAATTGAGATTTCTTGTGGTACTCTTAATAACCAGTGACCTGTGAAAGAATTAAGCTTTCAGAGAGAGCTACAAAGTCAAGTCCATAAGGGAAACTCGAAGTACAGTAATCAATATCAAGAGTTATCCTAATTGACTTCTGAGAAGGCCCATTATTGAATTATGGTTTTTTTCTGATGTTGTTGAATAAATGTATCTTTATGCTTCACACACTCTCCCCCACCTATTCCTTTTTGTTTAATGGAATTTTGCCATGACTCTCAACACTTCTTCATCCTATGAAATCGTCTTTAAAAAAATGTTTCCCTACAGAATAAGTCACGTTGTACATATTAGCAGAGCTGCCACCAGGCTATCCTGGATGGTTTTCAGCCAGGCTATGAGCCCGAGCTTAGCTTAGCTCTAACTCACACCCTTAGCCCCAGTTCATGGTTGCTTCGTGTCATTCCATTAAATTCTACTTTCTAGCCACTCTTGCTTTGTAGCTACTCTTGATTTGGCCTTTCCCCACTCTTGATTCCCTCCTGAACTCTGGTCCAAACTTGTACTCTCTGGCCCGGTGCTCAGCAGGAACTCCAGGCCTTGGCCCCAGCCCGGGGAGTTGAAGGCAAGCATGGGAGTAACAGAAGGCTCCCTGAGAGGCTAAGATCAACATCCAAACATTTTCTTTCCTGCTCCTGACTTCCTGGGATGAAATGCTAGTGCATCTAGCTAGACCAAAGGAGTGTCCACAGAGCTCTACAGGTGGATGTGGTTGTCCTTCTCTGGTCCAGTAGCATTAGGGCAAACTCCCAGTGTTATTTGCTCCCTTTTGGACATGAAAGCCAAGAAAGAGAAGAGGGAACCATGTCAGCAAATGCTTCTATCATCACCCCAGTCACACCATCTATCTTTCAACTCTTACATAATATGGGTAGTTCATAACCAAGCCAGGACACATCTATCAGGGTGCTGTCCTGTGGTGGCTTGCAGGTTGCTGTGATACTTGAAGCTGTACCGTCGGTATTTCAAACACCAGCAGGATTACCACAGCGAGCAGGTTTCAGCAGAGCTTCCAGACCAGAAACAGACCAGGGAAAAGAACTAGGCCGTCCACTTCTGAGGGACTCGCCGCTGACAACCTTTGGAATCACAGCAGAACATTGTTTAATGTAACGCCACAAAATGAACCCCTTAGGTTGGAAGGCACTCGAAATAAAACTGGGCAAGAGTGGCCTTCTCGAAGTAGTGTGTATTGTACTAAACATTTAGGTCCAGTTCTACTTCACAGGTGTCCTTTGATATATTTAAATAGCGCAAATTACATGAACTTGGGGTTTCCCTCAAGTATAACTTCACCTTTATTAGGAACTGAAAGCAGGCAGTTCAATTTGGTGTCTGATAAAGGGGCCGAAACGGCTGTGACGTGCCAGGTCAGCAGGTGGACAGCACCAGCCCCTCAGAGAGAAAGACAAAGCATTCTACTCTTGTAAAGACTTATAGTCGTGCAACCCCCAGCAGCAGTTCTACCCTGTCCTAAAAGGGTCACCGTGAGAAATGCTTACTGCATAATTTGAAGAAGAAAAATTTAGATTTTCAAAATATTTATGAAAATTGCTATGAAGTCTTACATTTTGACACTCTAAATTGCCCGCACGCCTTCCATAGATGTGCCTTTTCCATTTTCTTTTTTATTTTCTACTCTTCTCAAGCTGTGCATCCAATCTGTAGTCTCTGAATATATTGCTGTTTCCGATACCACAAAGAAAAACTCACATGTAATTGATTCTAATCAAAGTGACCCTTCAGCACAGAGAAAAACTGGCCCTTTGAGTTTCCAAACATTTAAGTATTTTAAAGACTGCAGAATGATTGGTAGGTTCAAACCACCGACTTTATGATTGGCAGCTCATGCTTAACCAACTAGCTACCTTGGATGGGTTCATATGCAACTTCCCTTGGAAGTGACTTCATGCTTAAGTCTTTTGCAAATATCACTTACCTTTTTTGTCTTGTCCTGTAATTTGTGGTTCTGAATTCTTCTAATATTTAAAACTATGGTGATAAATTAATAACTCAATAGCTGAAAATAGAGTGGAACACTACATCTGAGAAACCAAAGTTGATACTGTCTATCCAAAGCAATGTTCTGAATCAGTGCCCCCAAGCCCCGGGAATCAGCCTAAAAATGAAGACCAAGAACAATGCTTTTTCTTAAATAATTTTATTTGGAGCTCTTACAGATATTATAATAGTCCATAATTCAATTAGATCCAACATAATTGGACAATACTGCCACCACCATTGTCAAAACACGTTCTTTCTTCTTGAACTCTTTGATATCTGTTCCCCTTTATCCCCTCCCTACCCCACCCAACCTTCAGAAACCCTTATTCTTATATTATAAAGAGTTATTACTTATTATTATTATTTGGGCTATATAATTACTTGTGATTGGAATGCAAAAGTTGGAAATAAAGACAAGGATAGGTAATTAGAAAATATGGCCTTGGTGATTGAAAGGAAGTTGGAGATCGCATGCTAGAATTTTGCAAGACCCACCACTTCTTTATGGCAAATACCTCTTTTCAGCAACATAAACAACAACTATATACATGAGCCTCACCAGGTGGCATACCAAACCCATTGCCACTGAGTGGATCCCAACTCACAGCAACCCTACGGGGTTTCCCAAGTTGTAAATCTTTACAGGAGCAGAGGAGCTCAACTGTCTATTGCAAAGCAGCTGCTATGTTTGAACCTCCAACCTTTTGGTTAGCAGTCCCATGCTTACCTCATAATGCCACAAGGGCTCCTTATAATGAGTACACAGAAATCAAATTGGCAAAAAGACAATTAACCTGTAGTAAAGCACGGATGGTTCTGAAGGAAAAAGTCAAAGTTCCTTTGAAAACATTAGGAAAAAAACAAAGCTTCAGGAATTGACAGAATATCAATTGAAATATTTCATAAAAAATGGATGTATCCTTGGAATCACTCACTAGTCTTTGGCAAGAAATTTGGAAGATAGCTGCTTGGTCAATTAACTGGACTATCTCTCTATTTATCCCTGTTCTAAAGAAAGGTGGTCCAACAGGATGCAGAAATAAGATCATTAACGTCACATTCAAGTAAAAATTTGCTGAAGATAATTCAAAAAATGATTTCAGCAGTACATCCACAAGGAGCTGCCAAAAATTCAAGCTGGATCAGAATAGGACAAGGAGGATATCATTGCTGATGTCAGCTGGGTCATGGCTGATACCAAAGAATGCCAGAAAGATATTTACTGCATTTTATGGACTTTGTAAGGCATTCAATTCTACAGATCATAACAAACTATGGATAACATTATGAGGAATGGGAATTCCAGAATGCTTAATTGTGCTCACGCACAACCTGTGCATATACCAAGAGGAAGTCATTAGAGCAGAACCAGGAAAAGTGAAGGAAAGTGGGGAAGGAGATTAGAAGAGAGAGAAAGAAGTCAGTGGAGGGGCAGAGCCAAATAAAGGGCAACTTCCTGATATGGTAAGAAACATTCAAGAACAGATTGAGTTAATTGGAAATGGCAAAAGATGGAAGTTCATGAGCAGAGTGAATAAATGCCATGAGAAATGCATTATATAAGTGCCCACAAGATGTGTGTCCCTGGGGAGAATTCTTTTTATGGTTTGCCTGTATGCTGTCTGCAGCTGTAGAGACCCCCAGGTATTACAGACAGGCTCAGACTCTTCTACTCATGTGTATCCAGCTCACTCTGGAGACCTGCTCTTCAAATTATTGATTTGATGACATTCTACAATTAGTTCCTAATCTGCACCTAGGTGTTTGGTATCTGAAAGTAAACACCACTACCACCACCCCTACTCCATAGCAGTATACCATCCCAAAGCTCTGGCCCTGGAAATCCAACCAATATCAGGGAAATCCACAAGGAAGTGTCAAAATATGCTGATAATTGGACATTTCTGAGCACCCCACTGTGAGGTTTCTGTGCCCCATCCCAGGGCTCTGTCACTGACCTGGGTCCCAACAATCTGATTCAGTGACCAGCAGAATGATGGAATGGTTGACTGGACCTTAGTGTTGACTTCACTGGCTTCTGGCTTTTTCTAGGACAGTCACCTCCTGGGAAACCTGAGATTTCTAAATGCCGTTCTCCTGATAAAGAAACTTTTACCTGCTGGTGGAAGCCTGGGCCAGATGGAGGACTTCCTACCAATTATACTTTGACTTACCACAAGGAAGGGTAAGACACTCTCTTCTCTCCTGTCAATCCACACCTCCTTCTCACTCCCCAGGCCAACAGAGCACTCTCCTGCATTAGAACTACCAATGTCTTCCTTGGACTCACACAGACAAAGCTTGTAGCACTGCGGCAGAGGGAGTAGCACATTGTACCCATGTCCACAGTCTCCCAGGACATCCTCAAGGAGCTTTCTCAATACAAAGACATCTATAAGCTACAGCATCTATGTGCTAGTGACAATATTTTAAATGTCCTAGCTGTGAAAATATGCATTGCAGCCCAAGGCTAGGCATAAGAGTTTTCTACTTACTAGTTAATTATTAATGCCATCAAAAATGGTGTGTCCCCTGTTATTTTCTTTTTAGTATACTGTATATACTTGAGTATAAGCTGACCCAAATATCAACCAAGGCACCTAATTTTACCACCAAAACTGCATTAAAAATGTGCTAAAAAACTCGGCTTATACACGAGTATATACGGTACATAGTATTTTGTGACAGGTAACACAGCTACCAATTGCTGTCAAGTTGATTCCAACCCATGATAACCCCATGTGTTTCAGGATCATCCTGCTTGCCATTGGGTTCTCCATGGCTCTGGTCTTTCAGAAGTACACCATCAGGGCGTTTTCTGAAGCACTTCAGGGTGGATTCAAACTATCAATATTCTGGATACTGACCACATGCTTAATCATCTATGCCACCCAGAGACTATCTATTTAAGACAAAGCTAATATATGGAGTACACTCATGGTGGCCCCAAAAGTATTAGCTCCGTAGCACTGCCCACGACTGTGCCCAGCCCTTCCTTCTGAGATATGTCTGGATAGAATTGAGCCTCCAATGTTCTAGTCATCAGCAGGCCATCTTTTCAAACTTGTTTTATGTCCAAGAAAATTTTTTAAAAACCAAAAACCTGTAAAGGAAAAAAAATGAGGATTTTGCTTAGCTAACTGTTGATCCAACACCCATGATTTCCTAGAAGGCCTATTTGGAGGTAAAGTAGCTGTCGGAGCCAAGCAAGGTCATCGATGCGTGAGTGTTTAGTGGCCCTCAGTCAGACCCTCCTGGAAACCCTA